TAGTTCTAACGTTGTGTACATCCGAAAACATCTAAAAAATGTTTGGTTCTAGCATCGGGAAACATCTACGTTAGAAAACATCAGAATACATTTACATATAAAAACATCCGCAACAACGTTTAGTTCTAACGTTTTTTACATCCGAAAACAACCGAAAAACGTTTGATTCTAACATCAGGAAACATCTACATTAGAAAACATCAGAATACATTTACATATAAAAACATCCGAACAACGTTTAGTTCTAACGTTATGTACATCCGAAAACATCCAAAAACGTTTGGTTCTAACATCAGGAAACATCTACATTAGAAAACATCAAAAAACGTTTACATTTAAAAACATCCGAACAACGTTTAGTTCTAACGTTTTTTACATCTGAAAACATCCTTAAAACGTTTGATTCTAATGTCAATAGATTGAAATTTTTGACGTCAGACCGACATTAGAATGGCAAAATTTTGTTCCAAAATTTCTGATGTATACACCATGTTACGTTGCTTAAATACAACTAAATCATAATGTTTTCTAATGTTTGACATCAGGCATACATTTGATTTCGATGCTGATGTAGACATCAAAATCAAACGTTGGGCTAATGTAAATTTCTATTCGGGTTTCTTTCTCCGTAAAATGAAAGACAGTTCAATTCCATTTCTACTGTATGGAAAAAGCTCTTTGATGAATCAGTTATCCTGAGGTTGGAACTGTGCTCGTCCGCACCTAGCAAACCTCGGATAATAAACTCATCAGAACAACTGCCCCGATTCTTTATTCTTCGAAACCTTTTATACATGAATTTGTTACTTAAACTCTACACAATAGTTTTTCTCCAGTATGTACATATAAAGCGAGACAGATAGTTTTTCTCTTGGAAAGTCGGTGTGTTTTTTTTTAACAAGAATTAATGCTCCTCGCGGTAGGAACGGCTATGTAGGGTGCTTACTCACCAATGTTTACTTTGACCTTTCTCGAAGCACCTACACAGCAAAAAAAGTTGTTGAATATTACATCGAAACTGCTGCAACCAGGTCAATCCATCGGTTGTGTAATATCACATTGTACAATGTACATAAATTTTGCGAACAAAATTACATCCATTGATGTAATATTGTATCTGCGTTTTGCTATTACATCATTATTTCATACATCAGCTTGAATTACGTTGATCGATATTACATTTTTTTTTGCTGTGTAGTTAAGCCAGCGCGCATCGCTGACGACGCGGTAGCAACTGTTTATAAACAACTGACCCTGGAAATGTGCAACATTCTCACTGCTGCTGTTAAGTTGTGTATTTTCTACTACCGTATGGGGGTCTATTACTGGTTAATTTCTTACTCAGATTGATAATGGATTTTGAGGCCTTTGCATCCCCTCTTACTTAACCAGCTTGAGAATAATATCGAAGAGATTCTTCTCAAGGATATGCGCTGGTATCTATTCTATATTTGCTATTTTTTTTACTGGATCTTCTTACTATGGTTCTTACTCCTACTGTGCCTTTCTTAAGACCCTACTTTGTACTATTGATAAACATATTTTGTCATTTGGTTAAATTTTGTCATTCATCTACGTTAACAAGTTTATCACGCGTTTTGCTGATATGAAAATTTGCCTAACTGACTTACGTTAATTATGCGTTTAGTTGAGTTATACCATTCTTGTTGCAATTGATATTTAATGTTAACATTCTATAGAATTATTACGAATACTTCACTATAAGGATTGATGTTAGAATTTGGGGTTGTTGCACGCACTCTTTGCACACTGTCAAAGAATCATTGTACACAAAATCAACTTTGTTCAAATCAAAACAAAAAGACTAACCCATCTGGTGGATGATGGCACAAGCTTCCAAGAAAATTCTATTACAGTGAACCACATTATTTTAATTGATTTCTTCGCCAGTTAGTCGTCTGTAACTTCGTTTGTGGTTGCAAGTGTACCAACATCAACACCGATCGTGATAAGCTCTTTCACGCACCTTGCAGCGCATAAACTGAAATTAAAATTTTCTTGCACACTGTCAAAGATCATACTGCACACAAAATCAACTATGTTCAAATCAAAACAAAAATACTAGCCCATCTGGTGACTGATGGCACAAACTTCTAAGAAAATTCTATTACAGCGAACCACATTATTTTAATTGATTTCTTCGCCAGTTAGTCGTCTGTCACTTCGTTTGTGCTGGTACTATCTTCGGTCCCAAGCTAATCGATTCACCCCTCGAAACATAGGAAAATCCAATAACCCCTCATTTTATCTGTCAAACTTTCATATAGCGAATCAAAACAAACATAGTGTAGTACTGGAATTTCGACTAGAATGGGGTTCGTTAGTCGATTTGCTAGGGACCAATAGCACAAACGAAGTGACAGACGGAGCGGCTCGAAAACTTTGGTGACTAACCTTCTATTGCAATTTTTCAGTGTACCACATGGCAACACCACTACTACTGGATTGTACCACATGGCAACACTACTATTGGATTGAACTAGCATTTTCACCAAATGTACTAGAATATTTTGGTTCTATCATAGAGATAACTCTAAGACAAGTAGGTCTCGAAGAAACGTGCTCAACTTTTTGGCTCACCTCTGGTACTATCTTCGGTCCCATGCTTGCCGAATCACCCCTCGAAACATAGGAAAAACCAATAACCCCTCATTTTATCTGTCAAACTTTCATAGCGAATCAAAACAAACATTGCGTAGTACTAGAATTTCGACTAGAATAGGGTACGTTAATCGTTTGCTTGGGACCAATAGGCTACTAAAGTGGTGAGCCAATTTAAAATCGTTAGTTTCGTATTGATTGTTGGTTCTATCTCTTTCACTCTACTCAAAACTGAAATGCATAAAAAAATGACAAAATGATACGCACTCTTTGCACACTGTCAAAGATCATACTGCACACAAAATCAACTATGTTCAAATCAAAACAAAAATACTAGCCCATCTGGTGACTGATGGCACAAACTTCTAAGAAAATTCTATTACAGCGAACCACATTATTTAATTGATTTCTTCGCCAGTTAGTCGTCTGTCACTTCGTTTGTGCTGGTACTATCTTCGGTCCCAAGCTAATCGATTCACCCCTCGAAACATAGGAAAATCCAATAACCCCTAATTTTATCTGTCAAACTTTCATATAGCGAATCAAAACAAACATAGTAGTGCTGGAATTTCGACTAGAATGGGGTACGTTAGTCGATTTGCTAGGGACCAATAGGCTAGTCAAGTAGTGAGCTAATTTAAAATCGTTAATTTCGTATTGATTGTTGCAAATACGTTAATGTGTCCACGTTAAAACTAAAATACCTTAAATTAAATACTCAAAAATACCTCGAAAATAATTTGTACAGACAAAATACAACTCATTTTAATACAAAAATACACAAAACTTATAAATACATAAATTCGGAAAAATACAAAATACACAGTCTACAGTTGAAAAAATTAATTCTGTAACGTTTTTGAAAAGATCCTGCTGGTGTTCAGGAATATTTTTGTTGAGAAAAATGGAAAATTAGAAAAGTGCCTTAGTGGTTATGATCTTCCGAATTTATTGTGTATGAATAGTTAAGGTGCAAATCAGTTCAGATTTGTGGAAAATAGTACAATAAGACAATTACCGATGGAAATTGGCAAGATTTTGAATGAAAAATAATGTTATTTGCGTTGGGGAAAATACTTCCCGCATAAACGCGAACCATAAATTGACCTTACCTAAAATGGTTAAAAATTGTTTATAATCCCTGCTAAACTTTAACTGAAATGGTTATGGAACTTTACATGAACGTTTAATGATAAAGTTTCAACCTTATGTATTATGGTTTTTTGGAACTGGACCTTACAAATAATGGGTTGTTAAGAACCATTACCATTCCAAATTCTTGTTTTCTCCATACATTTTCAGAAAGAGAACTATATAAGAACGTTTTTACTTATGATTTGAGAACATTAATGGTAATGGCTATGGTAGTCAGTAAGGTCCATTAATGGTTTTGTATTATCGCTCAACTTTACGTGGAATATATCGTGAATTGGTAATCAGTAAATTACAGGCAACCAATTCGCGATATATTCCACATAAAGTTGATCGATGTTACAAAACCATTCGTGGACCTTACTGACTACCATAACCATTACCATTAAAGTTCTCAAACCATAAGTTAAAATGTTCTAATATAGTTCTCTTTCCGAAAATGTATGGAGAAAACAAGAATTTGGAACGGTAATGGTTCTTAACAACCTATTATTTGTAAGGTCCGGTTCCAAAAAACCATAATACATAAGGTTGAAACTTTATCATTAAACGTTCATGTAAAGTTCCATAACCATTTCAGTTAAAGTTTAGCAGGGATTATAAACATTTTTTAACCATTTTAGGTAAGGTCAATTTATGGTTCGTATTTATACGGGTTATTCTGATGTAAACAAATGGTTTGGTTGACGTTTCTTCTCGAACTCGCGTGGCGCACTCTACGTTGCACCTGCATTAAAAAGGCGTATTGCTATTGATACTGCGAAGATAAAAATATAATCACAGACAAACAGACATAACTCATTGAATATTTCTCACTGTAAAACATCGTCGCTAGAACATTATTTAAATCTGGTTGCTGCTACAGTTGTAGAAAAGCTGAAATCTATGTCTACACATAAATATCTGAAAAGAAATTATTTTTTCTATCTTATATGTCTATTAAGAAGTCCTTAAGTTTTCTACTAACGTAGCATTAACCAGATTTAAATAAAATGCTCCATTTGCAAAATAAAAGCATTTTAAGATTGCACTCGTATACCTCGCCGTGTAAAATTTTGAAACCATCATCACTCTCATAGTTCTTCTATTCTCCACGAGTGCCAACTTTGATTTGCCAATAGTGACTAATCAAAAGTAGGTAAAAGTGAACTGGCCGCTGGGGACTTTTTTCTTACCGTGTACGTAACGCCATGAAACGGCTGCAGAAAATATTAAAAAATACCGAAAATAGTTTGAAACAGAAGAATTTCAAACCATTGATACGACAAATTAGTTAAATTAATATTTTAAGGTATTGTACCTATACACATATTTTTGAGTTTCAAATAGATGCTTGATTTGAGCTTATAAAATTAATTAAATTAAGCAAATTTTGTGATAAACGTAAAATAAAACTGGAGTCTCCTACAAACTACTTCTGTGTAGAAGATGACTATTCCATCAGGTAAGCACGATAATCACGCACATCAAACAGTATTTTCCATACGAAATTTTGTTTTGTTTGAAAATTACGGTTCGAACGAAATCGAGAATATGGGTGAATATCAACAAATCAAATTCGATTTGACTGTGAAGTTAAAATGGAAATTATAACAGAATGCTTGTATTTTTATTTTACAGCTCAAACTCAACTTTTGGCAGGAAAATTACACGATTTGTTGGAATGTGCTGAGGACCTTTCTAAACTGAATAAAAGTAATATGGAAAAAGACACGGATCTGGCCAAAATGAGAACTAATTCTAACAATGTACAAAACCGCTTGCATGTTATAAATAACGATGTACAGACACTTGAAAAGGAAAATATTCGGTTGAATGAAGAGATACAGTCCTATTTAGATAGACATAACTACGAAGAACTCAGTAAGCTTAAGGAGTGGCATGCTTATTTCTATTCAACTTTACTTACAAATACAAAATATTATTGTAACATCTTTTATTATTTCATAATATTATACATTTCTAGATAAACATTTCAAAAGGTTCTATCTGTATTGATCGATTCTCTTCATCGACTTTCTCTTTCGTCAATAACTTAGCTGCAAAACCTTTCCCTGTTGTATTTGACGTTTTGGACGCTATATAAGAACCCCCTTTGTCAATCTGTGGTAGAACTAGCGCAAAATCTGTTTGCATAGCAGTGGTTATGCAAAGAGAAAGTCGATGAAGAGAATCGATCAAAGCAGATAGGACCATTTAAAATGTTCATAGAGATTTATTATGCAAAATGAATGGATGTAACCCTGGATGGTATAATGATATTTTGTATTTTTATGTTACAATAAGAAGTTGTAAGGAATGTGTTCTACACATAAAACCTGCCAATGTCGCTTTCAAAGAGTCACAATCAGCGATTTCCTGATAGCTGTTCACGAAGAATGAAGAAAGGGTGAGAGAAAATGATCAAATCGCTTATTGCGACTTTCATAACGCGAAATTGGCAAGTTTACAGCCTCTTCTTGTATGTTACAAATACAAAATTATCATCATCATCACCCTCATACCCATTTACGACGTATCGGATACGCCATACACATTTTTTTGACGTATCCGATACGTCGTAAATATCGGTGAATATCTTATGATTCCATAATCCCATAAAACATTTTTATGCGGATTAAATGGAAGTAACCCTGCTAGGGAGCATACTACTTACCTAGATAATTTTTCCTTTTTTGTCAGGGTCTATAATGATGAATGATTCCGTAAATAAGAAGCTAGAGGCTTTCCGCATCGAAATTACCACCATCGCTGAGGTGCTGGGGCTAGGTTTGGATCGAATCAGTCTGAGTGAGAATGATTTGATGATTACTTTTCCGGATTCACAACACACAACGCTAGTTTTCGAGGAAAACCAAAGGCAACTCAAACGTAAGTTTAAATAGTACAAAGGTTGTTGCTTCATCTGAGATTATATTATTTTGTTTCAGTTGTATCCATCAGTCCCTCGCATCCAAACTTGGCAATTATACAACAACATCTGCAGAGAACGGGAGACTTTGTGGGTTTGATAATTTCTCTTTATAAAAGAAGATTGTCATCATCATAAAATATTTATTTGAATAATAACATGTTCGTTCGATTAATTCAAAAATATCACTTGGTTCAACAATATCCATGTATGCTGACTGCAATACAGAATTTCAATTGAAATTACAATCAAAGCTTGAAGATCAGCTTCGTGACATCGTGACACTTCGGATGAGTTGTTGGTAGAATAGCGGTTTAATGTTGCGACCTAGTCCTACTTTCATTTTTTCTACCTAGACTTAACAAAGATAATCATAGGCTTAGCGGCTTAGATGTTGTTTAGCCAAAAATATGTTTGTTGATGGGCTGTGTGTATAGGTACTACTAAAATGATTTCCGCATAACATTTTGTACCTTATCAAAACACTCGACATTCATAATAAGGTTGTTTTATATGTTTAAATCTAAAATAAGATTTGAATACTCCATAATATCTACTCTATAGGTATTTATATGTGATTTAGTATACACATCCAGGTCTCTTCTATGCGGGTAGTGAGGTGAGATGACTCGCTGTCGCTAGTGAAGTGACAATTGTCACCTAGAGACAGCTCCCCTATTCTGCGAGTCACGTGACTCTCTCACCGGTGAGGTGACAATAGTCACCTCGTGTGAGGTGACGCTCTGTTCAAATCGAATGGAGAGTCACCTCACCGGTGACAGAGAGTCACGTGACTCACAGAATAAGGGGGAGCGATTCACCTCACCTCACACGCCGCGCAGAATACTCCTGATCAACACATTCAGGATTTGCCCCGCTAGTCCAGTTCTTTTGCTTTTCATAAGTGGATTGATTAGTTTAATAAATAATTTAAGCCATCAATAAGCGTATTAATGTACAAATCACACTATATTATAAGTAACTCCATATCTTGTCTACTGCATAGTATGAATCCAATCGAGCGCACGTTTGATTCGTCGAATGCGGGCACGAGCCAGAAAGCTGGAAATCAGCAAATACTCCGTATAGGTTCGACGGCCCATGGTTTCATTGTCCGGTTGTAGACGGCCCTCACAAAGAATCTTGGTCGTCAAGCTCAGCAGCCATTGCAGTATCTCGTTGCCAGAGGGATTGAAGCCGGTCTTCATCCAGGATGACGGTGACCATAAAAAGAGCTGCATAACGTTAGCTGCCACGTCAGCACTAAGCCTCTATGAATGAAATAAAATGTATGATTAGAAAAGATTAGAAATATCTAGCAGTTGCTAGCGTTCGGTAAGCTTTATGAACTCAAATAATCAAGTATAGATACCAGGGCTCTACATTTTCGAAGCTCTAAAATGAACTCGAGTTTTGTTTCTTTCGTACAAGTACAACGCATCATTTCTATAACTATAAGCTAGACTATAAGCACGAAACGAAAATTTAAAAGAAGCACGCTTAGAACGAAATACTGGCTGTAGATTTTCTCGTCGTTGCTTTGCTTATTGCTTTTAATGAAAGTAACGTCGATTATCGAGTTGAAACGAAACCTTATTATGGCTTTCAACCCCTTTCAACGACATTCTATCACCACTCTTTCAATTTGTTTAATATGCGTTATGTCCCGTTTTCGTTACTTCATTTTTGGATAAATATGTGAATGGAAGATAAATTAAACATATTAATGGCGGTAAGCTCCAACTCGGATTAACTTTTAATACCGTCCCTGTTTGGATGATCTGCGAATTGTTTGCATAGCATCGTGTTGAATAACTCTGATGTAGACATCAAAGCAGCCGGACATTCTTGATCGGGATTTAATCCGAGGATAATACCTATTGCTAGAGAAATGCTTTAAAGAAGCTGAATTTATAAAGAGACGACATGTCAAAATTGGAACAATCGATTATCTGTCAGTCATAGGAAAAGTTATTCCAATCCAGCAGAAGGTCTGTCAAATGGATAAGATGTCGCCTTTTTATCCAATTCAGTCTCTTTGATATTTCACCGAAACTTGAAAGAAAGACCAATGAAGCGACGGGAGAAAGAGACTAGATCTTCACTGAGATCGACGGAATGTCTTCACATGTATTCACCGCTGCTTTATAAATTTTTGGGTGGGGGATGGTGTTCAATATTTCAGATTTTTAAAACTGAGTCTTTGCAGAACTCTTAACTTCTGAACTCAAAAAGCAATTCTTATAAGAAGTTGAAAGAACATCGTTTAAGTTTAGAGAACGTTTTAGAACTTCAAGACACTTCATAGATCCTAAGTAAACTTCGTAGAAATTCTGGAAACTATCTAGAAGTACAGCAAATTTAACAGGACTTCATCTGACTTTTTAAAAGATCAACAAACTTCGTAGAAGTGCAAAAGTTAAGCAAACTTTTGAGAAATTTAGTGTTTTTTTTAGAAATTCAAGGAACTTTGTTCAAGTTCAGGGAGTTTTATTTAACTTCTTTGAACTTCGTTATACTTTGTAGATATTTAGGAGACATCTTAGAACTTCAGGGAAATTCGGGGAAGCTTATAGAGCTTTAGAGAACGTTGTAGAAATCCAGGAAACATTGTAAAAATTCGGGAAAATTCGTTTCTGTAAAGTGGGAAGTTTGTACAAGCTTGGGGAACTTAGTTCCCTAATAAAAATAACCATAAAAGAGAGCTTAACACGTATTCGGAGTATCATCCAAACCATTTGTGGGGTAGATTACCCATCCGGGATACAGTTCATTTATGATATTTGTTTATTATGGTTGAAGTGAAGGAAACTTTGTTTAGTTTCAGGAAACTTAATAAAATTTCCGAGACCTTCATATAACTTCAGGGCACTTTGATAAATTTAAATCGACTTGGTATAGTTCATTTAATTCCGTAGATGCTCAGGAAATTTTGTAGAACTTTAGGAAACTTCGCAGAAAATCAACGAAATTCTTAAAAGTTCACGGAACTTCGTACAAGTGCAACGAACTATAAAGTAGTTTAGCGAATATTGCAGAAGTCTTGTGGACGACCGTAAACGGCCGATGTGATTAAAATTGCAAAAACGTAGGTTACTCATAGAATGTGTAAAATTTTCCTAGCTTTTGTTAAAAAATCTGCTCGAATATGTTTGAAATCGACGAAAACTTTACTCAGTCTAGGAGTATACTAATAGACTGAGTGAAACCTCCCTCGATTTTCCTTATGTTCGAAAAGCTTTTGACGTAGACTACGTCTAACGTACTGAAGGTTAATCGAAAATCTGATATTGTGACCGCCACGAAAAGGTGTAAGATTTTGGACGCTTATAACTTTGTCATTTATAGATAAAATTAAAATCCAAATACACCAATCGATAGGAAATCCCTTTCGTAAGCGGTTGCAATAAACGCTTTTTCAATTTTTCATAAAAAAAAACTGTTTTAAAAATGGACATTTAAATAGTGATAATTTTATCACTGTTTTCACGAAATAAACGTTCTCCCCAAACCCAGTCCTCATAATCAAGTAGCAGCAGCAGCAGCAGTAGGAAGGCGGTTCCTGCCAAGCGCGCAGCGTTCGAGTTTTGCACCTCGAACTTTGCGCGTCGTTCCCGTCGAGATCACTGGCTGCTGGTAGCAGCGTCGCCTCGATGGCGCAAGCGCTCCTTGGCTGAATGATAACTACAAATCTCGATTACTTTTCGAAAGGACATATCAGCTTTTGTAAACAACGCATTTTATCGTCGGTTTGGCATAACTAATAGCTCGCCCCACATACTAACACCACTATATCAGGTAGGGGAAAATTTCCTCTATCTCATGGTAGTGTTAGCATGCGTGGGTGAGCTACCAGTTACGCCAAATCGACGATCAAATGCGTTGTTTACAAAAGCTGATACGTTCCTTCGAAAAAGTAATCGAGAAATACTTCGTGGGCTGTGTACTGCCGATACTCGCATAATTGTCCCATCTTTGCTTGATTTCATATTCATATGGGACAGTTATGCTTTTATGGGCAGTGTACCAATTGCCGAGTTTTTTATCGTGTTCGAAATTCCGGAAATTGATCAGTTTCAAACAGAGCTCAGCCACGGTTACCTAAATTTAACTTCTAGTCGGTCCGAAATAACCACGCTCGTATAGTAGAATTATTCGATAACTCATCTGTCACTTTTAACCACGAGATAAATTTAACTCGCCCATTGCGACACAGCCTTGGAAGTAAAATTAGGGCCATAAATTACGTATATTTTTTTTTTTGACCAATTAACCCCTCTTCCCCCTCGGAGCGTGTTTTGCAATACACCTAATACATGGCCGGTCCCAACTTCTGAAACTCCTCTCCTCTCTCAACTACTACGTTATTTATGAAAGTCCCCACTGAGCAACACTGAAAATCAACAGCACACCACACAAAACAGGTTGGACAATTTCGGTATTGGTCATCAATGTTTCGCGATCAGAACATTTTAGCTTGAAATCCCTATTTAATTATCGGTACATCTTTAATCTATTGATTGAATTAAAAACAATCTTAATATGGTTTTTAAGGATTTCGTGCGTTTTGTGAACGCACATTCATTATTTTGCATAAGAACAGGGTGTTTCTATGGTGATAAGAAGGATACACAGATTACAGTTTTCTGTTCCAAGCACTGAAATTATCAAACGGTACCTCTATTTATTCTTTTAGATTAGCTATGAAAGTCCCTCCTACTTGGAAAATTATGCTATAGAAAGGTTTATACAACCCCAGTTTTTTTTGCTGATGGGGGCGAGGCATAGCCAGCCGTTCTATTGCATAATTCTTCAAGTAGGAGGGACTTGCAATGCTTATCTCTTAGCATAAACAGAGGTACCGTCGAGTTTTTTCAGTGCTAGGTTCTGAAATTCGAAAGTGAGCGTTCAAAAGGTCCTACTTGTAATGTTCGATTCCCTTCGTCGATTTTCTGTTTACATTGCTACAGCCAGGCATGGAACATCATTTGCATTCATTTCATGCAATCATTAACATTCATTTGCCTCTAACTTTTTTCATCAACAGAATTCCGCAAAATAATATATAGAGCTTTAGTAGGTTTTGTTATTAGCTACAATGTTTGCCCATAACTCAAATCTGTATCTCTTATGCATCACGAATTAGAGCAGGCAGAACTTGTTACTGTTTTTCAGTGAATGTAAAATACATTCACTGAAAAACTGTACTGGATACTGTTCGCTCTGGTTCGTCATACATAAGAGATACGGATTTGAGTTGTCAACAAAAGTTGACAAAACCTACAAAAGCTCGATACACAATTTTGCGGAATTCTGTTGATGAAAAAAGTTAGGGGCAAATGAATGTAAATGAATGCACGAAATGAATGCAAAAAAGTTAACAAAACCTACAAAAGCTCGATACACAATTTTGCGGAATTCTGTTGATGAAAAAAGTTAGGGGCAAATGAATGTAAATGAATGCACGAAATGAATGCAAATGATTTTCCATGCCTGGCTACAGCTAAGCAAAACAATTCAATCTGAACATTGCATTAGGTCCTAAGTAACACTGACAATATTCTCTTCATCGACTTTCTTCTTGAATCCACTCGGCCCAGGTATTTTCAACACACATATCGATAAAAGAAGTTTTTATCTCGTATCTAATACAACAAACGATTCTGTGGTCAAGTTATGAAGGCTGTGTTCCATTTGGTGAATGTTTACTTAAATTTGACAGATGGAAAATTTTCAAATAAAGCTGCTTATCCAGCAGACTTATTTCTGACAGACAAGGAATCAATTTAAACAGACGCTTTCTCGAAAATCGACCGATCAACAACAGAAGGATTTTCAAACATCTTAATTTATTTTCGAAGTGTCAAATCTAAGTGAAAATTTTCCAAATGGAACACAGCCTTAGTATTTTTTTTTATTTGTTCAATCGGTAGATAAAAGATGTACAGAGAACTTATTGGAGGGATTCATGGCTAATTGATATCCCGATCAACTATAAAATGTTGCATAACATTGGTGCAAAATTGTGCACTCCGTTTAGCGTTTTGAAGTTGAATCGCTGAGAAAATCTTATTTCTGATCAATCTCATTACCACAAAAAATTTCAAGAGTACAGATATCAGCTCTCACAAAACTTATAACAAAGAAACTGGAACTTCACGTTTGTTGCATTTCAGTACAAAAGGAGTTTCAATTTCATGAGTGATGTCACAACCGTCCAAGATTTGTGTCCTAGAAATCTTGAAGTGCCATCATGACGGTCATTGTTGGACGCTTCAATGAATCACCTGAAGAAAGCCTTACTCATATCTGATTGTTATTTAGGAACCAAATTTAATAGAATATGTATTCGCATTTTTATGAGGTCCTGAATTTAACCAAGTTTTACTAAGTAGGAAATCCAAAATATGTACATAGGACCGAAATCATAGGTTGCTTCTACTGTATTTTAAATCAATATCTAGAAAAACGCACGAGAATTTCACTACACAGCTTAACGTAGTCTACGTCAACCATGCGGTCGTGTCTTGTACACAACCCCACCAATTTTTTTTTTTGGAAAGTCGAGGAAAATTTTACTCACTTTATGAGTGACCTACGTTCTTGCAAATTTGAGTGAAAGAAACTCGAATTTGAGTTGATTAAACAATCGGCCGTTCCAGTTAAAGCCATCACTCTAGCAAAAGTATGGACGACTGTCACCACAAAACTGAAAAAAGTTGTTCCAATCGAGCAAAGCAGTGCAGTTTGACGGCTCGATTGAAACAACTTTTGAGAGACGTCCGTAAGTTTCCTTAGAGGACTTTAGTTCAAGTACTCGAACGATAGGTATTGTTACTACGAATTCGGAATTATGAACCAAACGGAGGAGGAGGAAAGCTCGACTTTGGGACCATTTGGGACCGTCATTATCATAAACAAAAGTACAGTACTTGTACGCTTACTGGGCTCAAAGCCAGGGGTTGAAACAGTTGACGTTTTTTACTACACTCACTTCGTTGTCGTGGGCGACAGTCTGTTTGTATTCGAACACTTATGCTCTACCGTCGTCTCTCTCACACAACACGAGTGGTAGAATAACATTCGAGCCAAAAGAAAATTATCAAAATAGCTATCATTTGACATGTGTGATTTCGTTGTAATTCCTCAATTTGGTGTAAATCAAACCATTTCTGATTAGAAATATTATTACTAGGACATCATTGCTTGCTATTTTCAGAATTCACACAAGCACAACATCAGCAGCTCTTATTATGAGAAAAACTAAAATACATACATTGGTGACGGTCTTCGGCGACAGTGTCGTATGATAGAGCCTGTCATATGACATTTTAGTTTGGTACTGTACTATGATAGCTTGTTTTGCAAGTGTCGGAGGCAAAGGCAGTCAATTATCACAGAAAATGTGTCGACTACCGTGACCGCTTACAAGACTGCTCAAAGCGCAGTCCAGTTAGCGAATTCCACTCGCTAACTGGGCTGACTTGTCAAACGTCTAAAACACTTAAAAAATTTAATGTGCATTGAACTGAAGCAGTGGAAAGTTTGTTATTGTTATTTTCACAGCATTCAATTTCGCGAGTTTAGAAAGGCTTAACGCTTTCGCTAAAAACGCATTAAAGTCCTGATTTCAGTGTGAAATAAAAAAAAAATCAAGTTTATTTATATTAACACTTAATATTCCATTCGAATGCAACTCACTAATTTTCACAACGAAATGTCAACCTAAATGTTACGTCTATTTTTGACGTATGGCTGCTTTTTAACAGCCCAGTTAACGAACGCCCAGTTCGCAAACAAGTACTGTATAGAGGAGGTCAACCATGGGCGAAGTGGCTAGGGAACCAACAACGGAAGGCAAACAGTAAGTCACCTCCCAGAAATGTCGACCCTTCACAATATTGTTTTAAGACATGTGATCGTAATTAAATAAAAACGAATTGAAAAAAACAAACAAACGTTAATTCAGAGAGGAAAATATATACGGACAGATGCGTAGAAAAATAGCCATTAGGTCTAATATTATGATTTGACGTACCTCGTTTGGATTTCTATGCAGCATGTTCTCGACAAGCTTCTGCACAACATGGGGTACATTGTCGTTCATAGATGGGAGCTGATTATCCTTATAGTTTACATTTTTCAGCGTGCTGGGATCGTTCTGAAATTGAGAATTATCGTTAAAGGTTGCATTTGGTTCACGTTCGGTGCTATCGTCCTACCTTTCCTCCGTAAAAAGGATTTGCAGAACCGAAGATTTCGTACGCGATTGCCCCACATGCCCACAAGTCCGACTTGGTGTAGTTCAGGACAGAGAAGGTGCCAGGTTGCTTATTGATGATTTCTGGTGCCATCAGTGCCGTATTGCCACCTTTGTCGATTTCGCCGGACGAGTAGGGTAATTGAAGCCCGTGTGTTTTATCTGCAATGCAGCAACCAAAATCCGACAGTACCAAATTGGGAGGCATATTTGGTCGGATTTCAATTAAAATGTTGTCGCTTTTCAAATCACGATGAGCCACCCCGTAGCGGTTCAGATGGGCGACTGCTTCCAAGAGTTGCGCAAAGAGTAGAATTCTGGTTCGGAGATCCAGCGACGATTCTTGCGATAGATAATCATGCAGGCTACAGTTGTAGCGTTTCATTAGCAGGAAGAGGCTCATGTTGCGCCCGTAGCCATGGGGATTCAGTCGTTGGGGTAATGCCATCGGGTAGAGTGAAGATGACATGTGCAAATCCGGAATTTGATCGCAAAACACTCCGTACATCTCGACAATGTTCGGGTGAGGAGCAAGGAACACCGTTTGCTCTATGATGCTGAAATGGATTAATAGGCGAAAGGTTGCAGTTGTTATAATTGAACTTATTAAAAAAATATCAAGGGCCCAGGGAGAGAGAGATTCCCTTTAGGTTAGTGAGAAGAATTATGTGGGGATTGCGAGTTCCTAGAGCATCCCAAAAGAATCCAGAGAACAATTCAAAGGTAATCTGGTCGCTGCAACATTTCGGGAGAAGGGACCCCAGTCAAGATAGGCAAACTTTTCCACTAACAAAAGGCTGGTTATGATCTCCGAACTTCAGAACATATTCATTGAATATCAAGTTGGAAACAATGGAACTGATAGAGTTCACATGTCCAGAATGCTACCGACATCTTTTCGACGGTCAGGAGGTAATTATATCACGCCCACGCTAACGCTATTGCAGACTTTGTTAGATCCGTCTTGAAGAATAATATTGAACATTCTAGGAGAAATATACAACCTAGGTATCACATTCGGCCAATGATCCATATCAATTCTCACCCCCTCTATTTCAAAACCTGGCTAAACCTTGATGCTAATTGACACAGACAAATCAATGTAATCTAGATCGCAAATAATTGTCAATTTTAATTTTAGATAATTTTCATGAAGTTCGAAATTTGAAAGTAACAGTATCATATGTTTCTAAGTTACATGTAAACTTTTCGAAGGGCACTAGGCCGAACGCTACTGGACCGAGTGGGCCATTGATCATGTTATAAAGTGATAGAATGAACTAAGAAATTCTTTTATAAAACAATAAAATTTACGGAATAACATTTGAGATCGCGGACTAAGAATTTTTTTGCACATTAGATATGAAAGTTTTCAAGATTTTGAGATAAAGCCAGTTTTTCAAATGCTTGAATTTATAGAAAAAAAAATCAAACATGGCGTTATTTTCAGCATCTCAGATTTAAAAAATATGACTCTTGGATTGGCAGCAATTTTGACACTTTGAAAAATATTTAGAAAATTTTGATAAGAATGCCAAATAAGTTATGAGGAGAATTAAAAATTATTTTGCGAAATATTTCAATAAAATTGTATGGGAAACTCGAAAATAACGCCAAGTAGATCTGAAGAGACTATTATGGGGATTATGAGTAGAATTCCTTGGAATTCTAAAGCAAATCTGAATGAATTACAGGTAGCATAATAAGGGAATTCGAAAAACTTTTTTTTTGGGAATTTCAAGCTTATTCTTAAGAGAATTTAAATGAATTTGCAAATTTTGAGCATATCTTAAGATAAGTTCCGAAGAAATAATTTAGTTAAATCAGACAAATCAAATTTTTCAAGAACCCGTACACTGAAATTTTAAATCCAGGATTTAGAAAAAAAACAGGATTCTGAGACTTCAATTGAGAATAAATTAAATGATCCGCCTGGTCTAAGAATTAAACTGTTCAAGATTATGGGGCTCGACATTACTGAAACGACATTTAAACGATTTCACGAAAATGATACTTTTTTTTTATTATTATTATAGTCACTTTAACACTCTTGGGTCATTCGTGACTTGTCCGGGGGTGAGATTTGAACTCGTGACTTTGGCGTGAGAGGTATGGATGTTAACCACTACGCCGGGGTATGTTACTGGCTACAAAATCAATCTAAACGTTTAAAAATATTTAAACATGTGTAAAATCAAAATCATGCTAGGTTGTTTTTAACGGTGCAACACCCGTTTAAAAAAACCTGAGTGTACTAGTACTCGTTTCTTCATACCGGGAGAGTACAAAGTGGTTCGATTTTAATGTTTTTCAAGGGAAGAAAATGAACAGTTTTTGAGAGCAACATTCTAGATATGATTCGAGAATGATGATGGTGGCCCTACCTTCTTCACCTTTTGCACCTACAAAGGTTTCGAGCTGGACGATTTATTTATTAAGATAATTAGGTATAACATCTGAATCAGATTAGCAACGACCTGGTTACAGTTACAGCCATAAATCCCGTATAAAGTTTGCAGTTGCTTCGGTATAATTTATTCAGATGAATACTTACGATTTTTCCCAATTTTCTGCTTCGACTGAATTCCTTCTTTTTGCCGGGACCGTTTCCTTGTACATAGCTTTTAAAATGGCCATAGCATTGCTTTGAATGTCGTAGTTAAACATCATTTTCAACGCTAGCGGATACTGCTCCATGGTTGCGTCCATGTTGTATTCATGTAGCTAGAAACGGTGGAAAATGCATTACGATTAAGGCTTCACCGCCAAAAAATAAATCAAGCAAACGTACAGTTGCAATGACATCACTTTCGTTCGATTGTACATATAAATATTCTTCAACTGCATCAGATAGAAGTCGTGAGCGTCGGCTTGCGAAGCTTTCGCTATCAAACCGAACCCGACCTTGTTTCTTTTCTCGATTTGTTTGATCCTCGTATTTCTGATCGTTTTGCCCCATTGCTTGTTTGAGCCCGTCAATGGCCATATCCTGTAGATTCCTTTGCAAAGGAGCAACCGTATGGAATTGAGGGCTCTCACGGAAACTGCCATGCAGATTGTCCACACTACCGCCAAAATCGTGCATATATCGACCCATATTCTGCATCGGAGACAGAAGTTGTTCGGTTTCAGCATTCAAGTCAATGTGTTCGCTAGGTTCACCAAAAGTTGTCGTACTGTTTGATTCGGTTTCTTCTTTCAGAGCAGCGGCGTACACCACCGCAGAACATCCCTTGGCCAGCGGTGGTCCTATATTCAGATTGTCCAGACCTAATTCTTCGTCCAAACGTTTTTCGATTTCTTGCTCTCCAGCTTTGGTTTGGAAACGGGATACCGCATTCTGAGAAAAGTTGAGACATTAGAATTTGTGTAAATTTCGAAAAGCAACTCTCATACTCGTATTTCCCAACACACTGCCTCTAACTCGTCATCTTTGGTGAGCATGCCATCTCCGGAAGCAAGGCTCACTCCAACCAAAGCAAAGAACGGCGCTGAGTCGCCAAACATAAGTCTAAAATAAACAATTTTCTGTGTACTATGTTGTATCTAGCTAAGGCTACACATCTTTACCGTTTTGCCGCTTGTTGCCGGAGCTCGGCCGAGTACGGATTGGTTACCCGGTTGAGCACATTATCAACAAACAAGCGCCGTGCATGGCTACCAAAACGCAAGAAACTATTGGAGCGGAGATGTTGCTGTGTCTGGTGGAACCGATTTAGCTCCTGCCGGTTAAGAGCCCCGCCAGCTTTGAGTTCGCTGGGAATGCTCCGGTTGCGACCGTTGTCCAAAATGTTGACGTGAATGTCTCGCTTAAAGTAGCTTTGAACCAACAATCGACCATGTTTGTAAATTCGAGTCGTCAGCAGCCGAAACGACATTTTCTATTTGCGTAATTATCAACCTCTCTCCCCCCAGATCAAGCGCTCGGTAAATTTTCGTTTCCTAAAAAAAATAGACTCTCGCGATGTTAGTCACTCTTCACCTTAAATATTAAACTCCACAAGATTATCATACCACTATTCAACGCAAATATGGATATTATTTCACGATTTTCGGAACAAAATCGCAGCTAAATTCAGCAATTTTCACAATTAATGAGCAAGTTCGAGAATTTTTCCTCCTGTTATTGTTTTCATTTGAACGACGTCAGACAGCAGCTGTTCTCATAACCCACTGTTAAAAAAATGGGCCCCAATTGGGTTCTTTAAAGGTATTGAGATGTTCACGCCTGGTTGGATTGGTGCGCTGTGTGAAACTGCCCTAATAAAAATTGTATGGTTAATTTGCTTAACGACGTGTTCTGGGTATCATCCAAACCATTTATGGAATAGTTCAATGATTTGGGTTATCGTTCGTTTATGGTTATTTTTTATTAGGGTGGGGTAGTGAAAATCCGAGGAAAATACATAACAAACCGCTGTCAAACTCATTTTGACAGCCCTCGAAAGCCCTTTACTCAAAACGAAGGCCACCTACGTAAACCAACATCATCATCGGATAGGGGAAACTTCTACCTATACGATGATGGTGTTGGTTTGTGTGGGCGGCCTTCGATTTGTGAGTAATGGGCTTTGGAACGGTTTGTTTACAAATGCTGATGGGCCCTTTTCTATTGTTGATCCAGAACTTTACACGGTGATAGACCTCCAATAGTGTGCGTGCGTGAAATGTCACTAATCTCTATTAGGTTTTGCACCGTCGGGATTAACCTCAATCTGATGACAGTTCAGTGGTACCGTGGTACTGTTTACGTGGACTTAGTCGTTTTTTTTTCTTGGGTAGATTTTCTCGATAATTTTTCAAACTGCAGTGAGATGTAAACCACACTTCTGCATTGTCCACGAGTAACATCCTTTCATCGCGCTGTTCCTCGACAATTTTCAAGTTAAAGTTCGGTAATTTTAGAATATTTGATTTCGAAAAAACGACTAAGTGCTTGTAAACAGTACTACCCATTAAAACTGAGTTCATTCGTGACGTCACGCTGCAGAACCTAATTGAGGTAAATGCTGAGTACTGCGAACCAAGAGAAGAGGTGCGAAATCAATGAGCTGGATTACCGAGGTTCAGTTGTGTGAGTAAAACCCCTGTACGATACAAGCAATTAGTGGCGTCACTAATTGCGTTAACGTTGATTTTTTGGATTACTAAACAACCATATTTCACGACCTGCTTCACCTCTCTCTGTAGCTCATTGGTGCGAAATGAACCACTTTTATGTCAAACGTGAACCAGCTCCTGATTGGCCGATTTCATGTGCGTAAGATAGAGATAGATGAAGATAGAGATAGAGATAGAAATAAAAGAGGAAGAAGCCAATTGTCACCTCTTCCTCTTAGCTGCGAACTAACCAGGGGACTGGCAACCCCATATCAATCCTATACGTTTGACAGTAGGCAAGATCACGGGCCTTATTTAAATACGGTCCGCCTGACGTATACATGAAGGAAAGGGACGCAAAATCGTGTTGTAAGCAGAAAGACAAGAGCAGATGAAAGCATCATACACATGGCCGCCAGCCAGGTCCCTGGAACTAACTCAAAATGCTTGTCATCTGGGAGCCGAGTCGAACTGTCAAACAGGAGCCAAACATTCAAAAGAGCTCAGAAGCGAGGGACACGCAATAGCCTTTTTGACTGCGTTGGATTTAAAGTACAAGGTGTTCAACTATGTAATTAAGTAATTAAAAATGAAAATTAAGTATTTCATGTAATTAAATTTAATTTCGCGTAATCAAAGCAGTGCCAGTGTAATTAACACGTACTTCAATTTGATTACGTAATTAATGTAATTATAAATTTATTTTCTGTAATTAATGTAATTAAAATTACACAAATGTAATTAAAAACGTACCCCAATCCTTATTCTTGAACTATTTAAAAACATTGACGAAAACCCTTAACACATACTCGAATGAATCAATTTATTCAAAAACACTTCTTACACCCCGAAATACGCCCATTAATGTTTTACTAGACTACAAACATGACTAATTCTGCGAATACTTATACTAAATTTCTTGGAAACTGAAATAATCCACTCGCGACAATCGATTTCACTCTCGTTTTGTACGTTCAATAAAATGTCGTATCTAGTGCACTGTATTCGTTGAATAATGCGCTTTAACGCAGAACTAGAATAAAATCGATTGTCACGAGTAGGTTATATCGGTCTATAACTCTAGCGACAATATACAGTGAAAAGGAAGTGATACGCATAATGAGGGCCATGAATGCCATACATATGAAATGGGAATCACAGTTGTGACGACAAGTCTTCAAATTTTACATTTCCTCAAATTCAAGCAATTCCTCGAGCAAATTTCCTCCCGATTAAAAAATGTTCGAATTTTAAGCCATGCTCGCAGCACAGTTCGACAGATGATAAGCTTGTGCCTGAATTAACAGATTCAATGGAAGATGTATTTGCATTTGCATTAATTTTCTGTTGTTACGCGTGAATTGTTCGATTATTTCAATATTTCTTTAAAACTTAATATTATTATACTAATAATAATTAACAAATTTAAGGCAGAGTTCATTAACAAAAAAAAATATAATCAGGTTTTGGTTGCAGACACTAAGATGATTCAAATCAATTGTGTGCTTTTATTTGTATTATCGCCATCATATGATTACATCCGTATTCAGAATTGACGTGATAGCACTTATGAAATTTGCCTCCCCATTATTCGTCTTTCCATGGGTCAACTAAACAATACTACGGGCAGAACGCCAAATCGATAGGAAACGATGAGTCCCATGTGCACAGGACACGAAATGATCGTTACCGATCAAGTTGACACACTCAAGTTATCCGTGCCGGGAAGACAATTGCATACTAGCTGCGATTTTTCCCGGAAGTAGCGCAGCGTGTGAATGTTCAAAGTATTCACCAGCTCCAGTGTCCGTTCAGCTCTTTCTCTTAGGGGTTGTTCATAAACTACGTAGGCAGTTTAGGGGGGGGGGGGGTTGACAATTATGTACGGCCCAAACAAATGTAAAAAAAATTGTATGGACAATTGTCTACGCAGGGGAAGGGGGGTCAATAATCCAGTCAAACACAGACACACCGGTGACTGATGCTTTCAAATACGATTGATTTCTATATTGCTAAAAAAATATGCATTTGAATTTAATTCAAAACACATATTTTAGTTTTAAACATGTTTTCAATTTACTTTGAATCATTCATATGTTTAGAGTATAAACAGATTTATTTTTGATTTGAATGAACAAAATTCCGTATCCGTGGAGAAATAAATAATATTTTTACATGTAATTTTTTTTAATAATCTAAGAAAAAACTAATTTTCTTGAATTTTTGATAATTTTTCCCATTATTAAAAAAAAAAAAACGTGTCAAAAAGACTATATTTTCGGGGCGGTAAACTTCCCCTAAACCATACATTATGGGGTTAAATACAAAGAGGCAAAACGTGCTTAACATAATTTTCTTTTGTAATTCTGTTTTCGTTCACATCCACCAAATTAGCACAAACAAACATTCCTTTCATTGTCGCATTTTTCGGCGCTATAACAGGGGCGTGATCCAGGGTATAGGTTTTTGCCCTGCCTACACCTCGGCAGTATTGAAATCCGACTACATTTCCAATAACGAACCGATCGTTGCTTGTGATTTGGCACCAATCACCAACGTAGATTTCCTCGTGGGTCCCGGGAGATGTATGTTTATAGGGTCTATTCTGAAGTCATAACAGCGGTAGCGATACAATCTATCAGAGCTGACATTATCCTTAACGTAGCAAAAGGGCCTGTGAAATTTTTGTTTCACGGGCCAATAACGAAAGGGTCTAACGGTACGCTGGGGGTAATTTAAGTACATTTTTCGCTGTACATTAATGGAGTTAATGTACTTAATTTATGCAACTTGTAATTAAAGCTGAAATTTGTACTTAAAAGTAATTAAATCAAAAAAATTCCGACACTCGTAATTAAAGTAATTAATCATGTAGTTAACTGTAATTATTGTACTTAAAAAAGGCTTGCGTAGGAGTTAAAGGTTATTGCGTGCCCCTCGCTCAGAAATCATGTGGATTATAGTCGCTATACTTATAGTCTGGCGGATAGAATTTCGATCTATCAAAAAGTAGAACCAATTCAATATATTGTAGACCAATGTAGCCATCCAGCTAGTTCTCCAAACCGTGAGCCACCCGAAGACTGTTGAGTAGGTGCCGGTTGATACGGATGAAAACGATTGCGAGCTGTTTGGTTCCTAGGATAATCTGCTCTGATCGGCGCGAGTACTGCCGGCTCAGACTGAGCGTGTTTCTGCCTGTAGTAATCCTCGTTTAGACGAATGGTCTCGATCTCACGTACCTTATCGACCAACTCAGTGACCGAGCCACCTCTGTTAAGCATTCTTAAAGCAGCTGTTCGTACTTCGCGGCTTCGCGCCTGTCCTGCGATGGTACCGATGATTTCCTCAAATTCCTTTCCATTGTTGAATTCACAAAACCTTGCCGTTGCCGCTACTCGATTAACAAATTGTAAGTCGGATTCCTCAGATTTTTGACACATCAAAGCAAGCTTTCTTCTCTGCAGCATGATGTTCGATCCAGATCCGAAGTACGTCTTCAAACGGTGTAATGCATTGGAAAACGGCTTAGTTTCTGCACCTGGTGCATCTTCGGCTGACCCTGTATTTTTGAATATTCCGAGCAGTCGTGGACCAGCTTTGATTTTGAAGAGAATGAACCTCAGCTTGACCGATACCGTCGTATGGGTCTAAGACAGAACCAACAGAAGTGAGCATCAAGAAGATAGCTGCGATCGAAAAGGTGGAAGCGGAACAAAAACCGAAAGATGTAAGTGATGAACCGGAAAACTAAACATTAAATATATTTGACGATACTTGATTCTTGATTGCTATAAGTATTATATGGTAACATGTTTTCCTATAATGCAAAGTTAAATGACTGTCCAATAGTTTCTACATGGCTGTTTACACGCGACATATCAACAAACGTCAAAAATCGTTAAAAGCAACTCCAATAAAATATACACAGCAAAAAAAAAATGTAATATCGATCAATGTAATTCAAGCTGATGAATGAAATAATGATGTAATAGCAAAAAGCAGATACAATATTACATCAATGGATGTAATT